AGCCAAGACAGCCAGGCTGCTCCACTTTCTATCTGTTCTCTGCTAGCGCCCCCGGGGGAAAGCAGCGAAAGATGGCTCAAGGACTTGGGCTCCTGCCATGTGATGGAGCTCCAGGCTCCTGGCTTCAGCCCGAGTCAGCCCCAGCCACTGCAGCCATTTGGGGAGTGAACCAACCAATGGAAGATTCTCTGTGTGTTTAACTCTGACTTCCAAATAAATGTTCAAAAAAAAAAAATGATTCTAGTTAAAATAGCATCATAAGAAATAAAAGAGAGTAAATGTAGCAGAATTAAGTAACTACTGGAGGAAGTTCAAGTCCTAAATCAAAAGACCCTGCTCAATGCAATTTCTATCCAGATTCCAGAAAGCCTACTTAACAGAAAGCCTACTTAACAAGCTGATCCTAAAATTGACATGGTGCTCAAGGGATGCAGCATATCCAAAACAATCCTGGAAAACTGTACAAAGTTAGAGGCCTCAGTTACAGAAGTCAAAGTTTATGCCAGGGCCAGAGGGCCCAGTGGGTTGAGTTACCCCTTGTGACACCCATATCTCACATCCCAGCAAGGAAGTACCCAGCTCCCTGCCGCTGCCGGGAAGGCATCCACAGAAGAATCAAATTCTTGGCCCCTGCAGATGGACTCCTGGTTCCTGGCTTCAGACTGGCCTAACCCTCCTTCTCAAAGAGCCCCAGGTGAGCGAGTGGCGAGATGTGGGCTAAGGCCTTGGAAGGCTGCAAAGGGGACAAGCAGCTGCAAAGTGTGTGTCAGCCCATGGGCAATGCCAGTGAAGGCCGCCAAGAGACTCCACACCCAGGCAGCAAGAATGTGTATATTACAGTCCTCATGCATTGCTTGTGCAAATGGAAACGGGCATAGCTCCCCCCTCCGCGGCCAGGGAAATAGTGGCAGAATTGCCACATGATCCAGCTGCTGCTGCATTCTCAAGGAGAGTCTCAAAAATGTAGAAAGCAGCGACTCAGATACGTGAACGCCAACTACGGCACAGTGGCAGCAGGAAAGCAGAGGGCAGGCATGCAGTGCCACCTGAACCATCCCCAGCAACTGCACGCGGGCCAGCTTCCTGTACAGGGAGGATGCACAGCAGCACATCCCAGGACACGGCAAGTGCATCCCGGGCATGGAGAGGATTAGCAAAGTCATGCCCAACATGTCCAGAATCTTTTGTTTTTTTTAAAAAACATTTACTTAATTTATTTGAAAGGCACATAAGTGGAGAATGAGAGACACAGAAAGCAATCTTCAGTCCACGACTTCATTCCCCAAATGGATACAACAGCTGGGTTGTAGCAGCAGGACATGAATTGGCGCCCATATCCGATTCTGGCACTTGCATAGCGAGGATTTAGCCATTGAGCCATCACACCAGGCACTGGGATCCTAAATGGGCACTGGTTCTGATCCCGGCAGCCCCACTTCCCATCCAGCTCCCTGCCTGTGGCCTGGGAAAGCAGTGGAGGACGGCCCAAAGCCTTAGGACCCTGCACCCGTGTGGGAGACCCGGAAGAGCTCCTGGCTTCAGATTGGCTCAATTCTGGCCATTGCAGCCACTTGGAGAGTGAAGCAGTAGACGGAAGATCTTTCTCTCTGTCCTTTTGTCTGTAAAATCTGCCTTTCAATAAATCCTTTTAAAAAATTTTTTTAAGATTTATTTATTGTTATTGCAAAGTCAGATATATATACAGGGAGGAGAGACAGAGAGGAAGATCTTCCATCCAATGGCTCACTGCCCAAGTGACCACAATGGCTGGATCTGAGCCGATCCGAAGCCAGGAGCCAGGAACTTCTTCCAGGTCTCCCACACGGGTACAGGGTCCCAAAGCTTTGGGCCATCCTCCACTGCTTTCCCAGGCCACAAGCAGGGAGCTGGACGGGAAGTGGAGCAGCCAGGATTAGAACCGGCGCCCATATGGGATCCCAGCAGGTTCAAGGTGAGGACTGTAGCCGCTAGACCGCCGCACAGGGCCCTCAATAAATCTTTTAAACAAAAAATCTCTAAGTCTCCCTGTGGGTGACAGGAGGCCTTGCCAGCGATGTGTAGCTGCTTACTCAGGCACACTAACAGGGAGCTGGGTGAGAGTTAGCAGTAATTATAGGAGATGCTGTCATTGCAAGCAACAGCCTAACATACTATGCTACAAGTTAGCTGCTCTAGCATTTCTTAAGTGACAAAATGTTCTACAATCAGTAGGGATGCTCCTAAAATTTTATGAATTCCCTAACAAATAACAGTTTGTACACTGCAAAAAATTAAATTGTAGATTACGGGAAACATAGCATAAGAAAGCATTTCCTTAATTTTGGGCAGAGAAAGAGAATTCCTGGTTCATTCTCCACATGCCTGCCAGGGTTGGGAGCCTGCAGCCTGCACAGCTCAGGCCAGGCGCCTCCTCAGATGCACCCCAGAAGCAGCAGTCCACACTACTGCACTTTTTTTTAAGATTTGTTTATTTCTCCAAAAAAATGAGATTTATTTTTATGGGAAAGGCAGATTTACAGAGGAGAAACAAAGATCTTCGGTCCGCTGGCTCACTCCCCAGTGGCTGTAACAGCTGGAACTGAACCGATCTGAAGCCAGGGGCCAGAAGCTTCTTCTGGGCTTTCCACGCGGGTGCAGGGTCCCAAGGACTAGGCCATCTTTCACTGCTTTCCCAGGACACAAGCAGGGTGCTGGATGGAAGTGGATCAGCTGGGACATGAACCGGTATCCATATGGGATCCCGGCTTGCGCAACGTGAGGATTTAGCCACTGAGGCACTACACCGGGCCCAGTGCTCCACTTCTGATCCAGTCCCCTACTGATTCAGCTACAAAGGCCCATGCACCCACGTGGGAGACCTACATTAAGTTTCCAGCTCAGGGCTTCCACCTGGCCTAGCTTTTAATATGGTAGCAACTCAGACAGGAACTAGCGGATGGCAGTGCTCTCTCTGTATCTCTGTGCATTTGAAATACATTGACAAAACGTTAAAACTAATACATAGATCACGTGCTGTCCGGGGCACAGCTTAAGCAGGCCCACCTCAGGTCCCCTCCCCCACCAGTCCCTCCCCCAAGGCAGCCCTCTAGCTGCCACTGGAGGTCGCCAGCGTCCAGGCTCATTTAGGGCCTGCCAGAAGTTCACGTTCTCTCTCTTCACAGACACCCCGCACCCTGCCCCTCTAAAATGGAGCAAGAGCAAAGCACCAGACCAGTGTTTCTCCAAGGCAATGAAGACTCAAGTTCAAGGAGAGGTAGAGCTAGGCCTAGCGGCTGAAGTCCTCGCCTTGAACGCACGCCGGTTCTAATCCCAGCAGCTCCACTTCCCATCCAGCTCTCTGCCTGTGGCCTGGGAAAGCAGTCGAGGACGGCCCAAAGCCTTGGGACCCTGCACCCGTGTGGGAGACCCGGAAGAAGCTCCTGGCTACTGGCTTCGGATCGGCACAGTACCAGCCATTGTGCTCACTTGGGGAGTGAATCATTGGACGGAAGATCTTTCTCTGTCTCTCCTCCTCTCTGTATATCTGGCTTTCCAATAAATAAATAAATCTTTAAAAAAAAAAAAAAGGAGAGGTAGAGCTGTGCTATTTCAATGGAGCTCGATTCGGAGCTCCGGGGCCGGGGAGGTCAAGAGCATGGCTCCTGACCTAGCACTGGCCATCTGAAGAGTAAACCAGCAGATGGGAGCTTTCCCTGTGTCTAAGAACTTTAATGGCAAATGGGCGGCCATGGGAATGCAGGAGGGAGGTGGTGAGGGCAGGATCTGGACTCTCCATCCAGCGGGGAACCCACGGTGCCACCAGCCACCGCAGAGGCCCATGGCTTTCCGTGGCAATGAGGGAGGGAGCAGCTGAGATGGCAGAGCAGGCAAGCAGAGGGTAGCCAGCAGAAGTGGACACCACTGTGCCCCCTGACTATCTGCGCCACTCCCAGCAGCTCGCCAAAGGAAGACAGCTCAAAGAACCAGGGCTGCACCCCAGAGCTTCCGTTCACAATTCCTCCAATGCTGCCCGCCCCGGCTGCTCCAGGAAGCAGTCCCGGTGGGTGTTCCAGCTAAAGGCCCCTACACTTGCTTCTTAGTGATCAATACACTCCAGATACCTGTCCATGGCCAGGGCTGCCCCTGGGACTGGACTGACCTTGACCTCCCTGCACGTGGCAGGGGTATCAGGGGGCACCCAGAATGTACACACATGGGGGGCCGGAGGGGCCTGCGCGTGCAAACACACAGAGGAGCACAGGTACACACTCACAGGTAACGAAGCCACACTCAGGGCCATGAGGCTGGCCTACAGGGCCAAGTGCACATCTCCCCAGCGTGCCACGCACCACCCGGTCCACACCCCCAAAGGCTGGCCCGGCAGAGGGTTGGCCGACTGGCAGAGCGCGGCCAGGCACTGCCTGGTGGAGGTTGCCCTCCTCATCGACCGGCGGCAGCCACTCACTGCAGATGCCTAAAGCCCGTGAGTGTGCCCTCCCGGCAGAGCCAGTCCTGGAGTGAATGCCCAAGTGGCCCTTAGTGGGGGTATCCTCGGCGCTACGAGTTACGCACTCCTACGCCCCGGCCCGCGGGGACCTAGAGCCGGGTGCCGGCAGTTCAGCGGGCTCCCAGCCCCTTCCTCTGTCCCAGTACAGCAGGGAGGATGCCTATCGGGATCGGAAGCTGTTGCTATGCAACCTCAATGCTCATCCCGGCTGTGGGGTCTGGGACCGAAGCACGCTCCAATCGGACCGGTTCCAACTTGCCATCCCGGGGTGGGCTGGACACGGAGCTCGTGCCAATCCGCTTGGGGTGCCCAAGTCGTGCGTCTCGTGTCCGCACCCCACTCAGGGATCCGCCAGCGGCGCAGAGCGACAATATCCAGCAGCACCGCGATTTGAGGGAGAAAGATGCTCGACTATCTTTCCTTCCCCAAAGAAGGAGCCGTCCAGCCCGCCCAGCTTGCCGCCCAAGGAGCGTGCTCTTTCCCCTGTCCTCAGTCTCAGTCCCAGCCTCCGTACCTGAAGCATCACTTTGTACTGCTCCTCCGGTTTCTGGACCACGCACATATTACATCCCATGGTGCTGGCAGGCGGCGAAGGGAGAGGCCAGGAACCGGCACAAGATCTCACTGGCCGGTGCAGGGGACTTTGGGTCCCGGGTCGGGGCCCGGGGCCATAATCTAGTAGCGGGGGGGGGGGGGGGGGGCGGGCGGCTCAGCAGGGGAGTGGGGCACGCCCCCGTGGGGGGAGCAGCTCCACGCCCCTCGACTTAACTCTTGGCTGGCCGAGGCAAGGCGCGGGCATGCTCCTTTGCAACTGGCCAGGCAAAAAGGGGAGGCGGCGGGGGATGGGCGGGAGCACCGGGCGTTGCCCGCTACGACCCCTTAGAGGCGCGGGGGAAGCACCTGGCCGCTGAGTAACGTCAGGGGCCTTGAGTTAGGAGCCTCCCCGCCCGCGGGTCCCGCCGCTGCCGCTGCCGCCTCCGGTTCCCGCCCATGACCGCTAGGCTCGCGAGCCCGGCCCTCGCGCTCGGCGCCGCTGCCCGACCGGGCAGACCAGGGGGGCGGCCGCCCCCGCCCGCGGCCAGGCCTGCGCCCGGCCTCCCCACCCGGCCGGCCGCGCTCTCGGCGCTCCGGGCGCCCGCTCTCCGGCCCGCAGCCGGCCGGCCGTCTCGAGCTGCCGCCCGGGACGTCGGGCACGCGCGCGCACGCGGCGGCGGGGGAGGGGTGCGGGACGGGGCGCACGCGCGTGGGGGAGTGGAGACGGCAGGCGGAGGGCGGGAGCGAGGGCCGCGCGGGAGCCGGCGCGGGAAGCCCGGGGCAAGATCCCGACGGGAGCAAACGGCCGAGCCCCAGCAGCCCGCCCCCGCGGCCATCAACCCTGCACGTGTCGCTGGCGAGCCGTAGGGGCCCCCTTGGGTGTCCGGGATCCCGGGAGAGGTTGGGGCTTCAGAAGGGGGACTACATTGCCGCCGCCCGAACCCTTCCGCGGCTTCCTCTGCCCTCGTTTCTCTTCCTCGACTCAGCTGTCCCCTCGCTGTATTTGAATCGAACACCTTTGTTTAGGGGAAAAGAAGGAAAGCGTGGCGTGGGATGCGCAGGGCTGGGTGACGAAGAGAGCTGTGGCAGCAGTTTCACGCACACGGCTGGCCTGCCACGGTGGGCTGTCTCGCTGTTTCCCAGCCGCCGCTTGCACTGTCCCTCCATCTCCATCTCCCACGAGCCAGGCGTCCTGTTTGGAGAGCCACGAACTCGGAGAGCACAGGTGCTGCCGAGCCGATGTCCCCAGAGCCCTTCCCGCCTGCAGAGGCTGAGGGGCGCAGGGGGTGATGGCATGCTGCTCTTCTTGAGCAATGCTGTGCCGCCGGGGACTGAGTCACTGCAGGAGGGGAAGGTGGCCGTGTCCTGCTCTGTCCGGCCTGCATACCACCCATCATAGCCGTCCTCAGCCCCTAGTCTTTGTTGGGCTCCGCTGCCAGCTGCGGCACAGGCGCTGGGTCCCGCAGACTTTCGCACAGCCCTGCCTACCATGGACAGATCCCTGTGGTGGCTGCGACAAGGCCACTCGGCTGGCGCTGCTTCAGGAGTTTCCAACCCCAAGCCATGCTCCTGCCTACTCCAGCCCACCTGGTTGCACACGCATCTCCCAGACACTGCGTGTCACTTCAGCGGTGCACGTAGCAGCATGCCTCAATTCTCCTTTGCTGCCAACGTTAGAATCACTTTTCCTGTGATGAAAAATTAAACAAGGCCCTGGCACCGTGGCCTAGCGGCTAGAGTCCTCGCCTTGAACACGCCGGGATCCGGTATGGGCGCCAATTCTAATCCTGGCAGCTCCACTTCCCATCCAGCTCCCTGCTTGTGGCCTGGGAAAGCAGTGGAGGACGGCCCAAGGCTTTGGGACCCTGCACCTGTGTGGGAGAGCACCTGTGTTCTCTGAGCTCCTGGCTCCTGGTTTCAGATCGGCACAGCACCAGCCGTCGTGCTCACTTGCGGAGTGAATCATCAGACGGAAGATCTCCCTCTCTGTCTCTCCTCCTCTGTTTATCTGATTTAGCAATAAATATAAATAAATCTTTAAAAAAAATTAAAACGGTAACGTGCCAACAGCTATCACCCCGTGGTCCACCAGGGTCATTCTTGAGCTGCATCAATTCCTCTTCCTTTTTTTTTTTTAAACATTTATTTATTTTTACTGCAAAGTCAGATAATACAGAGAGGATAGACAGAGAGGAAGATCTTCCCTCTGATGATTCACTCTCCAATTGTCCTCAAAGGGCAAAGCTGAGCCGATCTGAAACCAGGAGCCAGGAGCCTCTTCCAGGTCTCCCACACGGGTACAGGATCCCAAGGCTTTGGGCCGTCCTCCACTGCTTTCCCAGGCCACAAGCAGGGAGCTGGATGGGAAGTGGAGCAGCCAGGATACAAATTGGTGCCCATATGGGATCCCAGCGCGCGTAAGACAAGAGAGGACCTCAGCCACTAGGCTACCACGCTGGGCCGTCTTCCTTTCTTTCTAAAAAGATTTTCTTTCTTCATTTATTTTGAAGTCACAATTACAGAGAGACAGACTCAATCTGGAGCCAAGAGCCAGTATGGGATGCCTGTGTCACAAGCAGTGATGTACCCACTAAGCCACAATGCCAGCCCACAGCACCTTCTGTGGAAGACCCTTGGACATCAAAGACCAGCTGAGCAGGGGCCAGGCTTGTGGTGCACTGGTTAAGCCGCTGCTTGGGAATCACTCACCCCACATGAGGTCACCGGTCTGAATCCCAGCTGCTGTACTGCCAATCCAGCTCCCTGCTGACACAAGGCCCTGCACCCTCATGGATGACCCAGATGAAGATCCTGGCTTCAGCGGATCCAGGCCTGACTGTTTTGCCCATTTGCCTTATTCTTTCTGTTACTCTGCCTTTCAAATAAATGAATTTTTAAAGATTTATGTACTTAGGGCCCGGCGCGGTGGCGCAAGTGGTTAAGTCCTTGCCTTGCACGCCCGGGATCCCATATGGGCGCCGGTTCTAATCCCGGCAGCTCCGCTTCCCTTCCAGCTCCCTGCCTGTGGCCCGGGAAGGCAGTGGAGGACGGCCCAAAGCCTTGGGACCCTGCACCTGCGTGGGAGACCCAGAAGAGGCTCCTGGCTTCAGATTGGCTCAGCACAGGCCATTGCGCTCACTTGGGGAGTGAATCATCGGACGGAAGATCTTCCTCTCTATCTCTCCTGTCTGTATATCCGCCTTCCCAATAAAAAATAATAATAATAAAAATAAATCTTAAAAAAAAAAGATTTATGTATTTAGGGCTTGGCGCAATAGCATAGTGGCTAAAATCCTTGCCTTGCATGCACTGGGATCCCATATGGACAGCAGTTCTAATCCAGGCAGCTCCACTTCCCATGCAGCTCCCTGCCTGTGGCCTGGGAAAGCAGTGGAGGACGGCCCAAAGCCTTGGGACCCTGCACCTGCGTGGGAGACCTGGAAGAGGCTCCTGGCTGCTGGCTTCGGATCGGCACAGCACTGGCCGTTGTGGTCACTTGGGGGAGTGAATCAATGGACGGAAGATCTTCCTCTCTGTCTCTCCTTCCATCTGTATGTCTGAGAGTCCAATAAAAGTAAAAAATATATATATTTGTTAAAAGATATATATGTTTATGTTAAAGATATTTTATTTAAAAGAAAGAAAAAACTATTTGAATGGCGGAGAGTTACAGAGAGGAAAGACAGAGACGTTCCAGGTGTTGACTCCCAAAATGGCATTCCCATCTTGAAGGCGTGCTGCTGCAGGCAGCAGCTGAGACCACTGTGCTCCAAATTCAGCTCTAGGAAGCTGTTTAAAAACTGTGAAGAAGGATATATGCAGAAGCACAGGCCAATTCAGTCTCAAGAATTCCAGCAGGATTCCTGGGCACAGAGGCAATGCGGTGCCTTGCAATTCCAACTCGGCTTTCAGCAGAGTGATACCCAGATGCCTTCTGCCCTGGGCACGGCGTAAGGGTAGGCGCGGCCCGGGCCGCTAGTGAGGTACCCACGCTGGCATGGCTCAGTGCCTTCCTCTGCTTGTGGGGTGGACCCCAGCATGACAAATCCTCATCCTTTGCACACAACCAGAGCTGTAGGCCTCGGGGGAGGACCAGATAACCAGGGTGGCTGGCTGATGGCACGCACGTGGAGCCACCCCCCAAGGTTTTGCTTGTGGTCAGCGGCTTTTCGTCCAGCTCAGGTGGGGAGCTTCTCAGCTGGGCCTTTTGTTTGCACATTCACAGCCACTTTGGGCTGTTCTGGGCCTGAGAGGGCGTGCAGGCTGCGGCTCCAAGGCGCCTTAAGGCTCCCTTGTTTTTTCTTTCTTTTCTAATGCAGGAAGCTGAACACAATCTGCAGGCCTTGCAAAACATGCAGAGCATTGAGATGCAACTCCTCTACAACTCTCCCAGTCCCAGCACAATTGCCTCCAATGCATAGTGCTAATCCCAGGGGGAATCCCGGGGGAGGGGAGTTAGGCACTTCCGCCCCTCTCCTTCCCCACCTGCCCCCAGCATTGCCCTGGCCTCCCTGCAGGCCAAGTTTCTTGTGGACCCTTTAGAGGAGTCAGGGGCCCCAAGAGACATCTGGGCAGCACATCTTTTGTCTCTTTTTTCTTTTATAGTATTGCTTTTTTGGATTGATTTGAAAGGCAGAGATGGAGCTAGATGGGGGCTGAGACACGCAATCCAATAATTCAGTCCACAGACATTCCCATAGGCGCCCAGGCTGGACCAGGCCCAATCGAGGCAGGTCTCCATGGGAGTAGCAGAGGACCTTAGCACTTGAGCGGTTACCCGATGCTTCATTAACTGAGAAGGTTTTCTAGCCTTTGTGCTCCGAGCAGGTAAGGGTGCAAATCCAAATCAGCCTCACCTGGTCTCATGGCCTAGTGCATTGAAGTTCTGCCTGTGATCCCTGCCAGTATTCCAGGAGAGCAGCAGTGCCAGGTCCTCCGGCAAGACTTCTCACCCAGCTCCGTGCTACTGCACCTGGGAAGATAGTAGAGCATGACCCAGCTGTAACTGTGATAAAGGCAAAACCAACAACCAAACCAAAC